ATTTCCCTCTTATTTTTTTAAAAGGGGAAAACGAAATTTTGATTTGGCCTCCCACCTCTCCCCTACATTACCGAAAATTTTTAAAGAAATGTTTCCCCAAAAATTTTTTTCCAAACGGGAAATTATGGTGTTTCCCAAAAATGGGAAACCTATGAAGAAAATGTAACTAAAAAAAGATTTTTTTTTACCCAAACATAATACAAGACCCAAGCTTAAATTCAGGCAAATCCCGATTTAAATTTTTAAAATTTTGGGTTTGGCTAAAAAAGAAAAGGGAATGCTGTTCAAAAAAGCATTTGAGTTTCCAAAAATTGCGAAAATCCCTAAAAGATTTTTAAAACAAAAAACCACAAAAACTACTGATAAATTTCATATAATCATTAAAATTAAAGCAAAGTGAAGGAAAAATAAAAGGGTTTCGTAACTTTTTTTCTGAAAAATTTTAAATGTAACCCTGTGGTGTTTTTCACCCCCAATGCCCGGGGTTACAGCTTAAGTTGGGTTTCAAAATCCCAATTTTCAAAAGTAGTTTTTTTTTTTCTTTTTTTCAGGTTTATATTTAAAAATATAAAATTTTAAACCAATTTTAAAAATTTAGCCCCAAAATAAAATAAACATGACAGTAAATTGGGTTTGCTTTGATGTTTTCGAAGGTTTTTTTCAACGAAAAGGGAACATAAATTAAAAACGTTTTTAAAACTGTGATAAAAGGGGGCTTCATTACCAAATCCCATTCAAAAATTCCCTTTTTTTTAGTTTGGGCCCCTTTTTTTCCCCTTTTAAGGGATAAGCTTTTTTAATTTTGGGAAAAATACGCCCCTTTTTATGGAATGGGACTATTGGTGTTTAGTTGAAGGGGGTTTTCCAATTTTATTAAATTTCCCCTTTAAACAAACTGGGTATGTTTTTAAAATTCAAAAAATTTTTACCAAAATTTTCCCGGTTTTTAAAAGGTTTGGAAATTCCCCGTTAAAACCGGGGACTGGGGAGCGGTTGGAAGGTAAATGCATTTTTCCCGTACCCTCCCTTGAACAGGGGGCAATCAAAAACCGAGCCGCCAAAATTTTCAATTTTTCCAAAGTTGGGGCTTTTCTTTTTGGGGGTTCCCTTTTTTTTTCTATTTTTTACAGTATTTGGTTACTAGATGTTTTGCATGTTTTTATCAATTGGGGTTAAAACAAAAGGTTGGGTTTTATGCCCCGCTGGATGATGGAAAAAAAAAAATTCAAAAACAGTGTTTTCCAAAGGAAAAAAACCGGGGGAAACCCCCCTTAAAGGTTTTCTTTTTTTCTAAATAGTTTTTAAATTTGTGGAAAATTCATAAAAAAAATTTAAAGGGGGTAGTGAAATTTTTAAGGAAAAAGTGTTTTCAAGGGTTTTAAAATTTTTAAATTTAACAGTTCAAAAGGGAGTGATTTCCGTTGTGTTAAAAAATTTATCTCGATGACAATGAGTGATTTTCGAGTGGTAATAAACGATTTTGTGATTTTTTAAGTGTTATCTTTTTTTTAAAGTCCATGTAAGTGATTTTCGGGGGGTGTAAAATATTCACCAAGTTGGCCCTGTAGTCCTTCCTGTGAAATTGAAAATTGGGTTTTAATTTGGGAATAAAGTAATATTATTTAAATTCATTAAATAAATTTATACACATCTTTTGGGTATAAGGAAGGTGTTTGGAAAAATAATTTTTTGAATTTTTAAAGGAAAAATTCCCCTTTTGACAGTTTTAATTTAAACTGAGAGAGAATATTGCATACAGTGTAAAAGAAAAGGGGAAAAATTTATTTAAATTTTTAAATCCTTTAAATGAAATGACCCTCTTTCAAGGAAACCCCGGGGTTTTTTTGGATCCCAAAAAACCCGGGCCCTTTAAACAAAAATTTTTAATAAAAAGCGGATTAGGGTGGTAAAATAAACCCGGGGGGCACTAACTAAAATTTCCTTTCTTAATATTTTTTGGGGAATATTTAAATTTAAATTGGTTTTAAAAATTTTTAAACCCCAGTTTATGCATATGTTCATGTTGGGTTGCCAACCTTTCAAGTAAAAAATGTCCAAAATTTTTCGTCCCCGGAAAAGTGAAAAAAAAATCCTCAAATTTTCTTTGTGTAATTTTGTAATTTAAAAAAGATTTGGGAAAAAGAACTTTTTAAAAAAAATGAATTTAACAATATTAAAAATTTTGCAGGGTTTTTTATTTATTAAGTTGTTAAAGACTTTGGGAATTTCGAATTTTTGCTTTTAGCCCCCCAACCCCGGGCTGAACCCCTAAAGGGCTATATTTTTCAACCCAAAATTTTAAAAAAAATAATAGTTATAAATAAAAAATTTGTGGGGGTTGTTGGATGTGGTGAAACTTTTAATTTAAATTTCCCAAAGTATTAATTAAGAAAAAAACGGCCCCCTTCCCTTGGGTCGTTCAAATAAATAAAAAAAAATAAATTTTTTAAAAAAACATTAAAATTTTTATTTTTGCAAAGGGTTTTTTTAATAATTCCCCCTTTTAGGGGTTTTGCATCAAATTTAATTTTTAATTTGGAGAAAAAAAAAATTGCAAACCGTTGGTTTCATGTAATTTAAAGAAAATTTCTCATTAAATCAGTTGAAAAAAGTTTTAAAAACAAATTTAAAATTTTTGGTTTAAAAAATTGTCATTTCATTAGTTTTAAAAACGTAAATAGGTGATTTAAAGGGGAAAAGTATTTAAAAATTTAAAGTTGAGTATTGAAAGTTTTTATAAAAAACTTTTTTAAAAAAAAAAATGTCGTAGTTACGTAAAAATCTGTTTTATTTTCCCTTTAATTTTAAATTTTAAATGTCCCTTTGGGATTATGAAAACTTGAAAAATTTTCCCTTACCTTTGGAAAAAATAAAAAACGCAAACGAGGAATTCCTTTAATAATTAAAAAAAATTGGTTTAAATAAACCCCTTTAAAATGTAGATATTTTTGTCTTTTTTTTTTTTTTTCCCGGTTTTATAAATAAAAAAATAATTCAAACCATAAAAATTAGCTTTAAAAAAAAATAAACATGCGTTAAATTTTTAAGGGTTATGTAGTGTTTTCAAACAAAAGGGAAAAAAAACTAAAACGTTTTAAATTTTGATAAAGCAAACTTCAAAAATATCAGATTCCCATTTAAAAAAATTTCATTTTTTTTTAGTTCTGGGGCCCCCCTTTTTTTCCCCTTTTAGCACACCAATTTTTTAAAATTTGGGGGGCCCAACGCCAAACTTTTCCCTGGGAAAGGCCTACTGTACATTTTGACATTGGGGAAAATTTTTAAAAATAATTGGGGGTATGAACCAATTTTGGGGGAAAGTTTTAAAATTTAAAAATTTACCCTTTTTTTGTGTTTAAATGTTGAATTCTATTAAAACCCGGGATAAAGGGGGGGACGGAAATTGCCAAAATTTTCCCGTTTTCCGTCCCTTTAACAGGCTCAATTAAAAACCCAGCTTTAAAATTTTTCATTTTCCCATGTTGGGTTTCTTTTTTGGGGATTTTCCCTTTTTTTCTAAATTTTAAAAGTAATTTTTTAGCTAGATGTACCATTTTTTTTCAAAAAAGGGGAAAAAGAAGTTGGATTGAAAAGCCTGCTTTGGGTGATGGAAAAAATTTCAAATTTTTAGTGTTTTTAAAAAGGGAAAAAAGGGAATCCCCAAAAAGGGGCTTTAAAGCAAAAAATAAATTTGTGGAATATAAACATAACCAAAATTAAAAGGGGTAGGATTTTTAAAAAAATAGTGGGTTTTTTAATGTATAAAACTTTATTAAGTTCATTTTAGGATTTCCCTGTGGGGGGTAAAAAAATTTTTTCACGTGCCAAAAGTAAATGATTTTCCGTGGGGGTAAACAAAGAAGTGATTTTTCAGTGTGTAATTTTTTTTTTTAAAAATCCATGTAAATTTATTTTTCGGGTTTTGGGAAATTTTCAAACCAAAAAAGGGGATGTAATTTTTAATTTTTGTGAAAAACCGAAAATTTTTTTTGTCGAATTTGGGTTTGACCAAAAATTATAACCCAAACCCCTCCCAAGGGAAATATTTTTAAAATTTCAAACCAAATTTTCCCCTTGACAAAAAAAAAGTTCCGTAAAAGTTGGTTTCAAGTTAAAAATTCCCTTATGGAATTTGAAATAAAAAGGGGTTTGTTTATACCCTTTTTTAATTGTATTAAAAATATTGAAAAGTTAAAAAAATTTCAATTTAGTTTAAAATTTTTACTTGGGGAAAAAAAAAAAATTTTTTAAATGCGCGAGTGAATAATTTGGAATTGGGTTTTTTTAAAGGGCGCCAATTTTTTCAAAGCAGAAATTTTTAAAACCCGTTTGGGGTTCCCTAATTTGAACAAAAAATCAGGCTGTTTTGGAAAAAATTGTAAAGTATGGAATTTCCATACCCCGGCCCTTTTTTAATAATAAAAAATAAATTTTCCCAAGGGAAAGAAACGCAAAGCGTGCGAAGCCGTCGTTAATATATAAACCAGTCCATGAGCTAAAAATAGCACAGCTGGGAAACCCAAGTTATATATGACCTCGGATTAAATTACGGTCTTGTAAACAATTTCAGAGATTTGTGAGTAGATTATTGATTTGTGCTTCGAATTTGCGGATAATTTTTTGGCAGTTTTACTTCAATTTTCATACGTGCATGCACGCACCTAGTTGTAATTTCATGCGTGATTTTTGTAAATTATACGGAATTCACATTTGTGCGTGAATGGGAACACTGACTATCATTTAGTTTTTTACCATCTGATTCATTTTTATAAAAATATCTAAAAAGGTCTATTTTATGTATGTGATGTATATATATCATGTCTAATCATTTTTTTATTGTAGCTGTTTTATCTTTGTTGATCTTATACTTTATGTTATATACAGTCGGTTATAAAAGCTCCTAGAGCTTATGTTGTACTGTTGAAAACTTGCCGACTTGAAACAAAACTTATCTTATTTTATCAATGTGTACGAAGAGGTATAAGTGTCCACTCGCCCCTAAACCAACTCGGTCTGCAACAAAAAAGAAATCACTTTAGATTGTTTAGTTGATGAACATCCAGCGGTAGATCACATATACTAAAAATAATTGAAAAGATCTGTATGTTTTATTATCTTTGTTAAGATGAGATGTTGTGATTAATACAACAGGGTCAGGGACCATCAACCGCAGACACTTTTTGAACATTTTTCTGTACAGGTTTCATAAGTTTTAACCTAGAGACCAACAAAATTGACAAGGTTCAGCTAGGTTCTTCCCCTAACTAACAAACTTGTTTGTCTGATTGTATTGACACTTATATCTGAGGCTCGACAAGGAAGTATCAAAATTACCTCAATTGTCTACACTACAGCACCGTGTGTCCGGACATTTATGTACATGACGTTATTTAATTCAGATAACAGCTTGGGTGTTTTAATTTTTAACATGATAGACAATGATTCAGAAACAAATGCTGAAGTTTTGGAAATTCTATTGTTTACTCTGCAAATGATTATAGATGGTATATGAGGTCAGGCATTGTTTTCTTGACCCCCCAAATTTCAACGTCAACATACTTTAAATAGCCATTAAAATTATATTACCATTTATGGTGGTTGAAATAAATTTGTTTATTTATTTTTAGAAGAAACATGCATTTATTGTTGATAAAAAAAGTGACAACCACTGAACAAAGAAAATACTAAATTAAGCATTTTCAGGGCCGTCCGGGTTTGGTGGTTGTCCGGTTTTGGTGGTCCCCAACCAGTAGCTTAAACATTTATGAACTGTAAATTCTTCCCTCACACACTTTCATCAATAACAATTTCAATTAGAAAAGGTATATAAATTATGACATGAAAACGTAAAACAATGAAAGATATGAACACATGAAACAAAGATAATTCAACATAGAGCAACAAAACTAGTTCCACTGAGGAATACCGTACCGCCGGTAAGGCCCCCATGGTTACACTTTTAAATGGATTCGTTTCGATTTTCATTCATAAACGGTTATGATATTTTTTACCGTTTATTCGAGATGACCATATTGTCTTACAAATTATCTTAATAATTTCCTGTAATCATGGATTTTATCTATACTTATTGGTTTATCAAAGTAAAAAATGGAAAATGGGTGTTTACAACCCGGACCACACACCATCACCGTGCAATAATCGCTTGTGACATAATTCATTTTTGTTGAAGTTGATTTTTCTTTGATCTTTTAAATAACGAAATGCGGATACAATGCAGAAAATGTGTGCCGCCTAAATCGTGATGAGCACTGAACATTATTTATTATAGAAAGTAAGTCATCATTTGGCAAATTACATGGTATAGTATAGTGCATAGAAGTACCACCGTTTAAACAGTATCGATTCGGTTCTTAGCAATCATGTAAAAAATTGTAAACGTGGGAGCCTTTACCGCCGGATATTGCTCGATATTACGAGGACTTTCATCCCATTTCAAGACTATGAACAAAGGTAAATTCAAGGTAAACGTTCAATCTGACAACAATAAAATTTCAGATGACAGTGCATTTTGAGAATAAATAAACATGTCAGTTTACCGAGTATTGCTTTGGAGTTGCTCGCCGGTGTCACTCGTATGCTTTTTAATGTAACGAGTATTGGTTATTAATATCAAGTAAATGTGAGAAGTAATCACAGAGTATTTACCACATTTAACCTTAAATATTTCTTATTGTCACAATGTGTATACTTATTGACATATGTGCAGAATATGCAGATTTTGAAGGTACTGTACTGAATATTACATACCTAGCAAACATGCATATATGGGACCCATATGGGCTATATCTAGGCAAGCTAATGGGTATACCCATATTGGACCTATATGGATCCAATATTGGCAAGTCCATTTGGGTACGCCTATATATTAGACCCATATGGGTACCATATTCCAGCACTTTAAGGAAAAACAATTTTTCTTTTATTTATTTCTTTAGAACTCGTTTACTTTGAGCTATAGTGTGACCACCTTGGCATAAATTGCTATTATCCTATATAAAATCGTAGCATTATTTTAAACATTTATACAAGCCATGAGGGACCCATAAGGGTCCCATTTGGGCAACCCGATAAATATTAGCATGCCTGAGCAGGTGCGAGAAATTAATTTGTTAAGTTTTTATATTGGTTTTAATTTTTATTATTTAAATATAAAAATGTGTTTTTAGACTATAAATTCAGAAATAATTTATAAAAATCAGTTTTTGATGAAAAAATTTATTTCGAGCATGTGCAGACGTGATTTCCGCTGCCGCTTAAAATCAAATTGTGTATTGAAATGTTAAATTGTAAAATTGTACACGAAAAAAATATTTCTTTTCGATTCCGAGCATTTAACCACGATTTCGTATAACGACTTTTCATATTATATCCTTACATGTTTATTGTGTGTGTAGGTAAGCTGTAAACGCTGTTTAGTTTTTGGTTTTGCCTTTGTCATGTAATTTCCCAATAGTCGTTTAATTTGCGACATTTTCTAGAATTTACGCCCTGACTGTCAGACGTTAGTCTGAGTGGGTCCACTAACTAAGGTGACTTTGTCTTATTAACAAAGGAACTTTCTAGACAGAGTAATAAACGTCTTCCTTGTGCTTCTGTACTTGCTGCGCTTCTAGACTTGCTGCAGGTTTGGACTTGCTGCACTCCTGAACTTGCTACGCTTTTGGACTTGCTGCGCTTCCTCAACTTGCTGCGCTTTTGGACTTGCTGCGCTTCCTGGACTTGCTGTGCTTCTTAGACTTGCTGCGCTTCCTGGCCTTGCTGTGCTTCTTAGACTTGCTGCACTCCTTGGACTTGCTTCACCACTTCTGCAGAAAACTCTAAGACAATACTGAAAGGTCCTTATTCGGGAACTAAGTTTTTTTTTTATTTTTCTGATCTTCTGTTAATGAACATCAGGTCTCTTTATTTGTCTCAATATATATAGCAACGGCACGAACCTGATAGAAAACAATTGACGTGACGTCACAATATAATCGACGTCGCAGTAAAATAAAACAAAAGTGTGTTTCTTTTGACGCACTAAAATACTTATAACTTGAGTTTAAAAAGACCTATCAACATGAAATAAAGTGCAAATTAAAATTCAGCTAAATATCTAAAAACTGATTTAAAAATGAATTGAATCAGATTCGTGCTGCTGAAACAAACATAAAATAAAACGATAAAAATACTAAAAAAAATACAATCTTGACAATAGCCCCTCTTTTCAAGTGAATATATATATTCACATAAAATAAGTCAAGATTAATTCAAGCACTCAGGTTCTTAGGTGATCCTCGGTAACTTCTTCTGACATTTTCTTTTCCTCTTTATGACGAGAAGTCTCTCTGCTTAAACCATGACAGTCTCTTGCCAAATGACCTGCCTTGTTGCAGATGAAGCATGTCTTCTTTCCTCTATCGAAATCATTCTTTCTTGCACGTGGTGTTATAATTTTACTTTGTAAAATATCTTCTGTCTCCCTTGGAGTACTGCTCGAGCCTTGCTTCGAAGCCTCAAATCTTCCATCATGTGCCTCGACGTACTTCTCTGCCATTTGGCATAGATCTGTCATCGTCTTTGGCGCCCTCTCCTTCAAAAACATGGCCAGGTCTAATGAGCTGCTTTGGATAAACTGCTCTCTTATCATCACCTCGCACAGTGATTTATAAGACTGTTCCCCCTGTGCCATGTCAGTCCACCTCGAGAAGTATCGCCCTAATCTGGAAATATATTGATGCACTGACTCTCCTGCCTCTGGCTTGCTCTCTCGAAATTTTACTCTAAATCCTTCTTCGGTCATGTGGTACCTCTTAAGCACCGCTGTTTTCAGCATTGTGTAATCACACGCTTCCTCAGGGGACATGCTTGTATAAACTTCAAGTCCCCTCCCCGTCAGAAGGGAACTCAGACTCATTGCCCACGTCTCCTCTTCCCATCCTTGGCTTAATGCATACCTCTCAAATCTTTCAATATATGCATCCATATCGTCATGAACTTCGTCAAATCTCGGAAGTTTAGGATGAGTCGTTCTACCAGGCCCTTCTACTGACGGTCTGGTTAATCTTATTCTTTCTCCCTCTAACTCCCTTTCTTTCAACTGCAACTCGTGTTGCATTTCATGTAACCTTCTCTCTTCTTCTCTCCTAAGTTTCCTTTCCTCTCTGTCAAGGAACTCTGCTTCTTTTTCTTTAATGAATGCCGCTAGGCTTTCCCCTTTTAAACCTAGTCTCTCCCCCAACCTAATCCACTCGTCGTAGTTCATGTTACCTTTTTACGTTAACCTTTTTATAGTAGATCCCGGACGAGCCCCCAATTTGTCAGACGTTAGTCTGAGTGGGTCCACTAACTAAGGTGACTTTGTCTTATTAACAAAGGAACTTTCTAGACAGAGTAATAAACGTCTTCCTTGTGCTTCTGTACTTGCTGCGCTTCTAGACTTGCTGCAGGTTTGGACTTGCTGCACTCCTGGACTTGCTGTGCTTCTTAGACTTGCCGCGCTTCGTAGACTTGCTGCGCTTCTTAGACTTGCTGCGCTTCCTGGACTTGCTGCGCTTCTTAGCCTTGCTGTGCTTCTTAGACTTGCTGCGCTTCCTGGACTTGCTTCACCACTTCTGCAGAAAACTCTAAGACAATACTGAAAGGTCCTTATTCGGGAACTAAGTTTTTTTTTTATTTTTCTGATCTTCTATTAACGAACATCAGGTCTCTTTATTTGTCTCAATATATATAGCAACGGCACGAACCTGATAGAAAACAGTTGACGTGACGTCACAATATAATCGACGTCGCAGTAAAATAAAACAAAAGTGTGTTTCTTTTGACGCACTAAAATACTTATAACTTGAGTTTAAAAAGACCTATCAACATGAAATAAAGTGCAAATTAAAATTCAGCTAAATATCTTAAAACTGATTTAAAAATGAATTGAATCAGATTCGTGCTGCTGAAACAAACATAAAATAAAACGATAAAAATACTAAAAAAAAATACAATCTTGACACTGACTCTTAGGCACTTTAGGTGACCTATGCATGTGTATAGTTGTTATTGTTGAATTTCTTAACTGTGACACTAACATTTTAAAAATATTGTTTCTATCTAGACTAAATTTTAAGAGATCTCTTTTTAAAGGGACACCATCATTTGAAATCCAGTGTCCCCCCTAGCCTTAGAAGTCCCTTCCATTTTGTACCAACATTTCATTCATAAGCATTTAAAAATATTAAATACAAATACTTATTTTTACAAATTCAAGTATTTTTTCCAAGTACCAACCAAGCCCTCTAGCTGTTGCACAGGCATGAGTATCGGACCTGAGAAGAAAAAATATGACCTGATAGATAATTAAACCTGTGTTCATCTTAAAAAATTCGTAAACCAAAAAAAATGTAAATTATGACCCCCTTTAAAAACATACTATAAGTTAAGAGTAGGCTGGAAACTCTAGATTCGAGCCTACGAGCAAGGGATTCACTACCCAGGCCGTTGTGAAAACAATTTTCCAGACAATTAAAAAATCTTTTATCATTATTTCACATTTGTATTAAGCTTCCAAATGAGACCAACTCCAAGTCTCTAGCCCTTCCTGTTCATGAAATAATCCCATCAGGAAACGAGCGCATTCGTGCTAAAAATCCTTGGTAGAAAAAATTGCGGCACAACAATTCGGTACGTAAACATAGACTAATACATGTTTGTCAGCCGTGCACAGGTCACAATCATATTCTCACTTGGTGCAATAACTCACTTAATGTATACGTATTTTTTAACTACTGATTAATGTATTTTCATTTTATTGTCAATAGGCCATCAAAAAGGCTGTATGAATCGGATAGTGACACTGATGAGAATGAGACAGACACCGAGAGTAGGCCATCACAAGTTATTGTTAAAGCAACAACTCCAAACAGGCACGAAGCCTGCTTTCACCTCCGCCTTGCTTATCTGGACAGGCATTGCGAGAGGCCAGCAGTGATGTGCAAAGTGCTTCTCTAATACAAGGTGCTTCTGATATGCCCTCCCGTGGGCAGATTATTGGGCCCAGTAAGTATAAACTTCGGAGCTGTAAAATATATTCATTACAGTACATACTTATTAAATGTTCTATCCTCAAAACAAGCCAATAAATGTTGTAACAAGCTGGATTGAGTGACACAGCCAAAAATGGAAAGTTTTCACCTTATGACGCCCCTAGTTAAAAAAAATTCAAAAGAAATTGATGATTACTTGTGTTAGTCTTTATCATGATGTGAATTAATGTTCGCCTATTCTTGTCTGACCCCACAACTGTTATCCAAAGTTACTGTCCTTGGAATAGTCAAAAATGTTTATTTTCACCCATGACATGCCTAGCTCAAAAATATTTTAAGTTTAATTCATGATTTCTTATCATTTTCACATTTTGTGACCTTGCACACTCAACAATCCTTTTGAGATTTTAGCGTTAATTACTGTTAAAGCCAAGGGAAAATTTAAAAATACTGGATTTTTTTCATTTGTAATTCACATAGCTCTAAAAGTATAAAGCCTAGAATTATGAATCCTTTTTTGAAGCTGCTGTTACACAGATTCTCTGAGTCTTGTAGACAATGCGGGAGGAGAATTGTGAAATTAAGAGGATGATGTAGCAATTGTTGTCAAGGTCAGCAGCAGATGACCAACCGCTGCAGCTTCCTGAAGATATCTCATTCCCTTTTCGTTCTCCTTAGCAGATGGAAACATTCGATGAGCTTCTTGGAGATCAGACAAAGCTGTCATCTGTGGTAAGCATAGTGTTAGTCATGTAATTATTGCACCATTAGTAACTGAAAAAAGTATACCTCATATCCACTGGCTTAAATGCAAAATAACATAATGGTCTGTGGTTAGCACTTGATGATAATGTATTATCATTCTGCTATACTTATGTAGGAAAATATTGCACAGTGGACAAACACTTAACTGCATTACTTTCGGAATTAAAAACTGGCTTGTTTTAATTTTTTGATTCATATTGAAACAGTTATCTTATTATTTAGATATGCTATAATAGCCATGAGCACAAGACATGGGCAGTTGGGCCTCGTTTTCAACATTGATTATTAAGACAAGACAGTCGATTCATTAATCAAAATGCTGGCAGCTTTCAAAATACCAGGAAAATGACTAGTACCCACAAAATCCAGGAATTGCGCTGTTATTATAATATCAAAAATTATTCTGTTCATACTGTATAAACTCGTGTTTAAAAAACAACAATGATAATGTGCCCCATTACACTCGGTGGAGGGGACAAACAAAAAGGCACAAGTCACTTAGGCTGTAAATATATGAGCAAAGGTCATTTAATTTGTCAATTCAAACAGTTTTCTTGGCAGATCATGTATTTGAGGTCCAGTTGACAATTATTTGTCATTTGGTGACTTGCAGCGCATCACAAATTTTGAAAATTAAGTAGTGTTTAAAATTAACATTAAAAAAAATTTATGTTCTGCTTTATTTAAGGTGCGGTTCCTCTCAATGTTTGGTGGGGCAGTTGTGCGGGAAACTGTTGACCGCTAGATGATAGAAACCATGTCAAATGAACTGGCAATAATGTTCAATATGAAGGGGGCTGAAAGGGAAGAAAACATTTGGGCCGCCTCTAGATACTGAATGTATTGTATAGTAAGTGATATATTACGAATTTGCCAAGTGGTGTCTTTAAGTAAGGCTTCAAAATAGATATATTATCCAAGATCTTGTTATTGTGTCTTCAGGTATCGCTTTAATGAAAGAAAAATGCTTGATTAGCTTTTATGGAAATTAATAAGAGAAAATATTTTACATGCTGTGTGGTTTTGATCCCATGCATTGTGTTGTGATTCATAATATAAGCAGAAATCACCTTCCTGAAAAGCAAGTTATTTGCTTACCTTAACATTCTTTACTGATACACCGATAAGATGATCTGCAGCGATATCACAGAAATATTGTTAAAAGCTATGTAAAACCGGGACACAAACATCTATATTTTTAAAACATACTAGAATTAGTTTATATTCCAATTTAATGCTCAAAATGCTACAAGGTGACTTATGACCTTTGAATGGTTTCAATACCTACATTTCACTGCATTTTTATTTCATTCTTTAAGGGATAAGGATGCTTGTTCTATAGAATGTGTCCAAAGGAACTTGCCGACAAAGACTGCGACGAGGAAGGATATTGAAATAAAGGTTTCAAAGTGGCTGGCTGGGGCGTGGGACCGCGATGGGGAAGGAAAGCAAGAAACAAAGTGTCCGAGACCTTACCTTAAGCAAATGAAGGAAGTGACTAGACATGTTTTTTATTTTTAAAAAAATGCAAAATCTATAGAGGATATTTGTTTGTTAGTGTGTAAGATGACATTTTATATCATCAAGTGAGCTGTAAAAACATTATTTCTCACGAGTGAGAACACTGTTATTTAAAAGTCCTCAATGATATAAAATTACATCTTACACAACAAACAATAAAGTGTCTTTTTATTTTATGCTAATGAAATTTCCTCAATATTAACTTTAATAATTATTAAATCTGTTTTCCCCACTGTTAACATCAATTTTAGTTGAATTTAAGTCCAATTATTCATAAATACAGGAGTCTTGGGCTTAACAAAAAGTTTGACAATCAACGTTGAATAGCAATGATTTTATTTATTTTATTAAAAATATATGAAAAATCGCTTGTTTTAATAATAAAAACAACCAATTCTAGTAGAAAAAGTCACACCATCCCACCTTATTTCTGTTACTCAGGCAATTTATGTATGACCTGGCTTTGTGAAATGTAAGTGGCGGCCATTTTTAAAAGTTTTGTATAGTAAGGAAAATTAATTTTGTTTTATTCAGAGGAATATTATTTGGATAGGTTAGTCTTGAAACAGTCCTGAGAATGTCAGAATTGTAAGCAAAATGATATATTAAGGTACCACATGGGGAAAATCTTTAAAAAGTAGTCTCGTCATTGAAAAGTTTGAAATTTGGATCATTTTCACTGTGAAATTATCAAATATAATTTTCACGGATACATCAGTAATACACACAAAAGCATAAAATGAATGACTTTTATTTTACATTTTCGAACCTTTTCTTCATCGGCATATAAGTTATTCCAATGATTGAAAGTCAATTAGATATCAAAGTATTTTAAAATGTGATAAGGGTCAGAACTACAGTAAGTGGCTCATTTGTGTGTCTTGTTATACTTTTTGTTGCTAGTTTTAATGTTTGAGGTCATAAGCATACCATGTCTTTCTTGTAAATGAAAAATTCTTTTGCCTTCTAGTCAGTTTATTTTGCTGCTATGTAATGGTTGTTGTTGACATTATATGCTGTTTTTCTGTTGTCTATATGCTGTTGTTATTTTTTTTCATTAAACATTGTTGCTATTTAAAATCAAGACATAAAATGCTCGGGGAATGTTTTTGATACTGATCAATACAATTATAACATCTTGTCCAAACTTAACACTAACAGGGAACACATATATAGGTATGGTATTAACCTTTTAAATCAAGTTGAAATACTGTACAATGATGCTTCTTGTAATCTTTATTTTTGTTATTGCTGAAACTTTGATAATACCGGTATTGGATAAATTACTGAAACAACTATTGTTACTGACAATTTTTTAAATGAACTTCTTTCACAACAAATTTGATCTTGTTAAATCCAGTATTATTTCACATTTTTTAAAGGAATATATCCATAAATAATTACTGTTCTGTGATATATAGGATAATTGTTAATTTTCGGTTGTAATATCCACATTAATTTATTTTATAATTCATTTCCCCACAGAGTGGAATACCTAAAGGTGTTGTTCACAAAGTGGCGGCCTGTTGTTTTCAACAAAAAGTTGGCGCAAGGCATGAGTGAAAATAAACAACTTTTGTTATTTTAGGAAAAGTTGAACTTATCATTTGATATTTACCATTGAAATCCACAGTTAATAACATGTATGTGTTTACTTTATGTCTAAAACTCCACTAATGTTTGGTTCCTTTCAATAAAAAAGGTTCTGAAATATGCGAGAGAAACTTTTTTATCAAGAAGCATCGCAAAAGATGAAGGTCCATTTTTATTGACGTTGTTTGTCATATTTTTTTTCCGAATTTCAGTATACCTTGGTTTTAAAAACCTTTTTGATATTTTATAATTAGTTAATCAAATTCGATAAATTTTTTTCACACAAAGTGGGCTAGTGAGACAGGATAGAATTCAACGTTTAACTTCCATAAAACCATTGAAAATTGATAAAGATTAATGAAATTCTTATTGAGAATGATATTAGCACATAGAAAACTGATCTAAACAGTAACGTTTCACAAAAGGTTACTATAACTACTAGTATTGATATTAACAATTGAAATGCATTAAATTGTAAATACTATTGTTATTTCTTGCCTTTATTGTGGTTTTTTGTGATGAAGATATGAGAAATGAAGCTGGTTATTTTTTACAAACTGGTACAAACTATTTGTTACTTTTCATCAGCTGCATATTTTTTTTTTACACGTCTATAAACAGTATTTCTATGTGCCAAGGTTTTGTTATTATTTTTGTTACTTTTCATCAGCTGTATTAAATTGTTTACACATCTATGAACAGGTTATTACAACTGTGCCAAGTTTTTTTTTTTATTTATATTTTTTACATCTTCCACAAGCTGTATTAATATTTTTTCTTTTCAGGCACTACATCATACCAAAGTGTATATTGGTTGGGAATAATGAACCAATTTTTTATATTATATTCATTGTAAGATCTATTTCATTTGGTCCAATACAAAGATATTCTTGAAAAATTTTTAAATATTCATATAAAACATAGATTTACTTATTTCATTTGAAAATGAAAGTAATTGGTAGATAGAAATTTGTAATGAATTACAATAAATGTAATAATACTTTTCCTAATGGGAATTATGTAGAAATTTAAAAAGAACATGGGAGTATGGTTTGGCAAGTTGTGTCTTTGAGAAATCTGTATATATATGTTAACACTCTTACCATATAATTGAGATTACTAAATCTAAAGTTAAACATTGTTAAAGCATATTAAAAAATTGTGTGTTTTTTCTTGCAAAAGGGTAATAAAGGCTTTTGTTCCATAACGTCGTTTCCCGTTTTTAAAAAAATTTACTTGCAAGTTACAAAAAAAATCCGCCAGTTGGCAAAACTTAACGTCCAGCAAAAACTAATAAATCTCTAGTGAAGACTTCATAAGACTTTTCCCCGAGAAATTTCTAAAAATTTAATAAAATCTGGCGCACAGTTGCATACCCAACTTTAGCTACGAAGGACAACTGAACCCATCAATGTGGCCCATATGATTCTTATCTCTCTCACTCTATATATCTCCTATTGAAGGAATATGTTAACGGATTAACGACACCAAAGTCTCAGATTTCAATAAGTATCCTACAAGTACCATGTGGCGAGTCATTGCTTGCCAATTGCGTAAATAAAATAGAGTAATGGCGAGAGTGTCTGTCATTAAGACAATAGTGTTGATAAGTTATATGAGTTTTGGAATACGTGCATAAGACTTTTCAGCGAGATAATTTTAATCTAAAAGTTTTGCCACAAATCTTTCTTTAACCGGCACACTTTTGCAATGGTAAAAATACCTATGATTTATGTCATCTAAATCTGTTTTTTCTGCTTTTATTAGAGAAACAAATGACCCTAAATAGAACTAAAAAACATTTCCAATTGAAATAACATTCATTTCAACACCAAGTAGTTTCATTAATTATCATGTGCAAAAGCGTGAATAATTATAATCTAAGAGCTTTAAGATCTATGATGAAGCAGTATCTTCTGTGTAAACCAGGGTGCCGTGACTTACTTTAACACACCAGAGCCACTCTCACTAATATGGTTACTTTTCTCAGTGCTGTATTTTGAATTCTTATGAATTTGCCATACGTTCAATGCCAATATTTATTTTAAAGTAGACAAATTACTAGAATTATAATTCATAACACACCGATATATGTGAGTCGGAAACTCTGGCTGTGAATCAATAGTGTGAGACACCTTATAATCAATTCTCGAACTTTTAATGGAATTTCTCTTTGACCGTTTAATTAAACTGAGAGAGAGAAGTCCATTGCATACAGTGTAATAGATGGACCACAATGATTAATTCAGAATCCTTAAGTGACTGACATCTTTCAAGGATCCCAGGTTTCTTTGGACTACAATAAACCTGAGCCTTGAAGCATTTTAAGTATCTAGCGGATTAGGATGGTAAAATACCCGGTGTGCACCCCACTAAAATTGTCCTATTTAATATTTATTGTCAATATAATTAAGTGTTAACATTATTAAACGCACGTGATGCATATGTTCATTTGATATGCAACCGTTTCAAGTAAAAACTGTCAAATTTTACGTCCTGGATGTGAAATGAAATCCTCAAATACTTCGTGTCATTTAGATAATTTAAACAGATGGAAAATGAACTTTGAAAATAACTGAACTCAACACATATTTAAATTTTGCAGGTTTGGATTGATTAAGTCTGTTCATGACAATTATGGAAATGCGCATTTCTGCTGACGCCGCCAAGCCCCGGTCTGACCGCTATTCTATATTTACACCAATAAATATAAGAAAATAAATATG